ATTAAATAGTCTCTTGATGAGATAATTTGTATTTCTGGATTCAGATCAATGAAATAACAGTTCCTGTCCCCTGAAGGTCCTCAGAGACAGGTTGTGGTCGGAGGCCTAGTTCACTACACCGCCTACAGAGCTGGTCCACAAGTGTAAATGGAAACACGACAACACACGAGCTGATCTGAGGTGACCTGACATTACCTGATCCGCACCGTAACAGTGGAAAAGGGGCAATAGTTATGTAGGTAATAAACAACAGTGTAGGGACATATCAAGTTTTTTTTAACCATCAACTTTTATTCTTTTGATACTTTGAAAGTAAGACTGACTCTCATTCCCAAAGGTGGACAGTAAGGAACCATGTTACAAAAAAAAAAAAATCTGTTGTTGTAATTAATTGCACACCTGTTATTATGATTTCAGTAAAGCTGAAAGGCCCTTTGTATGAGAACCTTTCCATCTGACCTTTGAAATAAAACATCTGAAGCATATGCATATCTCTTCCGAAAAGTTAGAGATGCTGAAAACAAGGTTTAACTGTCCCTTGTTCTGAAACGGGGGTGGAATGTCTCAGTTGTTCGAGGGAGAGGGGTTTCTTTTTTTCCTTTTCAGAAACATCTTTACAGAATGAACTGCTCAGTTACAGAAATAAAAGTATGTCATAAAATGACATTCAGGGACGTAGGTATATCTCTACACTGATTATTTATTGTTTGGCTAATTATTTTGTATGCACAAAGAGAGAGGCCACTTCAGCGAACAGGTCAGTTTATATGTTCCTGTTGTAGAGAAAAGGGTACTCTGATCGTTGAATTTTTATTAGTAATTTTATTCTGAAGGGGCACCACTTGCTTTCCGGTTCTTAAGCAAGAAATTATTAAATCAGACTCAAGTTTTGTGCTCTAGTGAGTTCTTTTCGTATTAAATTCAAATGTCATATATAATAAAAACGCTTTGAGTCAAAGTACAATTTTGTGAAGTTTATTATCTATTTTGGTGAATACAAGTGTTCAAAAAATCATGAGTACAGCTGAAGGATGAATGATGGCTTTACTTTAACAACACAAGAGGTTAGGGAATAATCTTCTAAACTTTAATATGGTGAATTATGAAGTTCAAAAAGCAGAGTAAATTATCATCTATAGTTACCTAAATGAAGTGTTTTGACTAGATGTAATTTGTCAATTTAGGAAGACTTAATTCTAATTAAAAATGATGAATTTTGTTAGACTTGACAACTTTTTATCTTGGGCATCAGACACCAGCAGAGAGAAGGAGTAGTTTTTCCTACCGATTGGAGGGTGTAATTCAACCGCCGAGGGTTACCAGGACTCTGTTGAGATGAGTTAAAGCGTCAAAGTTGGGATTTCCCTCGACACTGGACATCAGCTGAAATATAGAGTCGACAGTTATCTGGCTCCCGATGGGGTCAGTTGATGAGCTCCCAGAGGGATACGTTTTCTCCTTCTGGTGACGAGGATCTTCTGGCATACGTTTCCAATTGTTTGACCTTTCTTCTTCAAAAGCGTCTCCCAGACTGCTCTAAGCCAAACGTCAGAATAACTTTCTTTGACTTAGAGGGCGTTACAATATTGATGGTTGAGCCAATCACAACATAAGGGTAGACCTTTGTTTCAGGTTGCTGTTTGAACTTCAATAACCTTAATAAAATAAAAAAAAATGGCTAATTTACTCTGCTTTGGTAAATTTTCAATATAACAGGATAATCAAAACTTCTAAGCAGTTTTTACACATCCATAATCATTTTCATTAAAACTTATGCAAACACAGTTGAAACCTCTGATTACCAGTTTTACATCAAAATATTCAATTGTGTTCAGGAGAACTCAGAAATTTAAATTGCTCAGAAAAATTATTTCTACCACGGGATGGCAAAAGAGTTTGAGAACAATGGGGTGTTTCTCACACTCTAAGACTACAGGATTAATCCTCCCTCTGGAAAGTGTCAAAAGAAGACTTTTATGGTTTGCAAGACAACCGAAGATCCAATAAATCTGAATAATATTGGAACAAACTTTCTGTGAACCTCAAAAATGGACGTTTGAGTTAACACAGATCACTCAGGATGTCCTGGGATCACCTTGTACCAACCTCCAACCAGTCTTATCCTTCAACGATCGTAAATAACAGAAAGCCTTGTCTCTGTTCGAAGGAATTCCAGCCTGGACACTCGGGTACCCTTTCCTGCATGTAGCAAACTGACAGACTTTTATTCACATTCTAGAAGAATTAATACTGTTTTTCTATAATGAAATAATTGTTTACTGTGAATAACTAAATAACTTGCCTTGTTGTTTCTCCTACAGCTGACAAGAACCTGTGTAGCCCAAAAGTTTACAAACTTGTTTTCTGTTTACAAGGTTAACAAAGTGTCGTTATTGGTTTTAACCTCATTTAAAGTTGATAAGTGTCTTAAATATTTTTATTTGATGACTTTTTCAACAGAGCAGATTAAAATAATACTTTATTTAGTTGATAAAGTTCAGCCCTTTCATTTTGATTGGTTCAAATCGACCACCTCTTTCAAATCAGAGGTGTGGTCAGTTATTTACAAGAGAGGAAGACCTCTCAGATGAAAGTAGTAGTGATGTGATGAAGAAGATGAAGAAGTTGAACGAGAGAAGACAGGAGGAGAAGGAGTAAGCTTTTAAGATACAACCTACAAGAACTTCCAAGAAGAAAATGAGTTTCAACTTTGGCAAAGTTTGATAGAACCCTCTTCAGTGCTCAGACACCTGCAGTTATCATCATCAGAGTTAACAACAGCTGTCCAGAACTCCAGGAGACGCTCCGGTTGATCATTAGAGCCAGTGACCAAACTCTTTGCCTTAATGTCAGGGATGTGAAGGAATTTCCACCTTTACATGAAAGATCATCTGAGCAGAAAGAGTCCAACATCTGGTATCTTCAGGCGACCTTCGAAGACGACTCCTGGTGGGAACAGCTGATCTGTACTCTGAAGGATGACTCTGGTGTCCAAGAATTTAGATTTTAACCAAATTAGTATTAACTCAGTTCAATAATTATTTTCCCTTAAATTTCAGACCAAATTTTAACTACTGAACGATAAAACGTCTTTCTTTTAGTTAAATTTGCAAAATTAATCTGCCCTGCTGAAATTTCCAATTGTTCTACATTGCATCTTGGTTTGGTTTGGTTAAGCACATAGAATAATTTCATTTATCTGTTAATTCCTGCTAACAAGCTATTTTTACGGTCACGTTATTTTCCATAAAACTCCGGTTGTGAACAAAACCTTCATTTACATGTCAGAAATAATTTCCAACAGTTGCTTTTATCATATATATATTCAAATAAACATCACAAAACTGTATGAAAGCGTGTGTGTTTTACTTATGACATCTGAATCCTTCATATAAAAGAACTTGCGGTGTAAAAAGGGTAATTCGAGGTAATTAAACTGAATCTGAATTGATTTTCAGACCTTCAGATTTTCTCTCAGAGCTGAGAGTGGTGCCCCTTCAAAATAAAATTCATAACGAATTTTTAATCATTATTAACCCTTCCTGCTACATCAGCCATGAGTTAATGATATGTGACATTTTATTCTATTAATTTCTGTGATGGCAAAATTCTTGATTTCCTAACTTTAACTATAAATATAATTCAGTATTACAACAGTCTTCAACAATAAAACATTACAGGTGATAGTGCAAGTTGACTGAAGAAATGTAAACGTATGACTAAACTGTGTGTATTGTGCATATTTTACTCCTAGGTTTGGTGGAACTGACTGGGGGTTCCCAATCTCCCAGGAGTAATCTGTGCAGTTTATGAGTATGACTGAGTCAAACTACAGTGAATGTGGCAATGACCATCTTAAGGTCCAGTTTGAGGACCTCCAGAGCCTGGTGCTTCCACTGACCTGGGCGTCCTGTGTGGAAAACTACATGACTGAAAAACATGGCAGATTTTTAAATAAATGTGAGTCCAACTTTAAAAGTGTGTCAAACAACCATAATTATACAGTATCACAACTTTCACAGAACAGTCTAAAAAAGTTTAGTCTGGTCCTCTGGACATTCAAAAAACAAAACAAACAAACAAAAAAAGTAGAAACGTTCAGTCTTTCATCCAAAAAACTACTTCAGTCTGAGTAGCTGGATTCAGCTCAGTCTTGTTCTCAGGCTCCTCTCTTGTGGAATCAACTTCCAGATTCTGTCTGTGAGGCTGACATATCATCCAGTTTTAAGAATGGGTTTAATACTTTACTTTTTGATAAATTCTATAGTTAGGGTTGGCTTGGGTTTCCTGAGCTATCCTTTAGTTATGTTGCTATAGGCTTAGACTGCTGGAGGACAAACTCACCACATTTCTTCAGTATGCTACTGTCTTTACTTACTCTGCTCAACCTGTTTTGTATTTGTAATTATTTTTTCTATCCTTAACATGTGCTTTTGTTTTTCAGGTACAACTGCACCTACATCTGGACCTGCCATTCTGTGTTCGTTTGTCTCTCCTTCCTGTCCTCTCAAACCAGCTGGTCAAAGCAGATGGCCACCTGTCCTGAGCTGGTTCTGCTGGAGGTTTCTTCCTATTAAAAGGGAGTTTTTCCTTTCCACTGTTGCCACTGTGCTTGCTCAGGATGGGCGATTGTGATGGAGTGAATATTCAACAAGGCTGTTGGCTTCCTTAGATAGAGAACTTTACTACTTATAATAATAATAATAATAATACATTTGATTTTAGGGTACCTTTCAAAAACCCAAGTGTGGGAGGAAACTGGAGTACCAGGAGAAAACCCATGCATGCACAGAGAGAACATGCAAACTCCACCCAGAAAGGCCCTCCAGCCGGGATTTGAACCAGGGCGACGAGCTTGCTGAGAACCAGCAGCTCTACCAACTGTGCCACCGTGCTGCACTTTTGTTATTTCATTTATTAAAACTATATTTTGCGTTTAATCCTGAGTTCTCCAAGCCTACCTGTACATGAGTTCTACCAAACAACAGAATCATAACAGAATGGGCAGACCAATTGAACCCAGCACGCGGATGTCTTGGGCCAAGTGTCTGGCCCAGAGAAGCCGCTTGGACTGGCCAGTGGGAGCAAGGAGAGCGAGCACATGGAGCTGTCCATCATCCGGTGAGGTGGATTCCAGGTCAGACCCACCTGGAGATAGACTGCAGCCCGGAGGTGTAGATCCTCCTGTCACCTCTTTTGGTGAAGGAAGAGGAGGTCCCAGCTCCGAGGAACTCACTTGGCATTTAAGCCTGTTTTATCCTCCTTTTTGCCGCCTTGCTCATCACTCAACTTTTTGAGTGGCCATCTGAGGAGGATCCTGAGCCTGAGAATGACCTCTTGTTTGCCCCAGGTCCCAGCTAACGCCGTCGCTGCAAGAGGGGCTGACGATGGACCCAGTTTCAGTCCATTGAGCCTCCTGTTCCTCCACCAGCGTGACCTGTGCCGTCACCAGCGTATCCTGCTCCCTGTGTTTCAGTGGGTGTCGGCTGTGATGACCCACCTGTCTCCTACATCTTTGTGGATGTTATCTGCAATGACTCACCTCCTCCTTGCATTTCAGTGGGTGTCAGCAGCGACAACCCACCCACCTTCTGCATTTCTGTGGGTTTCAACTGCAATGACCCACCTGCTGCCTGCATCTCCATGGGTGTCAGCTGCGATGACCCACCTGTTCCTTGCGTCTCAGTGGGTGTAGGCTGCGATGACCCACCCACATTCTGCATCTCTGTGAGTGTTGACAATGACAACCCATCTGTCTCTTGTGTCTCCATGACTGTTGGCTGCAACAACCCACCTATTCCCTTCGTCTCAGTGGGTTTTGGTGGCAATGACCCACCTGCTCCCTGTCTCGTGGGTGTTGACTACGACAACCCACCTACTTCCTGTTTTTTGGAAAGGGTCCTGGAGGACGCCTGTTACTCTTCCTCCAAGATGGTTCGGGGATGCCACTCACTCTTCCTCTGAGAGGGTTCTGAAGGACACCTCTCACTACTCCTCTTCGCTTTCTGAGGGTTCCACGCCTCATGCAATCCCTGTGGTAGCTACGCTTGCTACAGACCCTGTGGTAGCTACTCCCACTGCAGTCTTTGTGGGCTCTATGCCACCTGCAGCCACCCTGGGCTCTACGCCACCTGCAGCCTCCCTGGGCTATATGCCTGCTATAGCCTCCCTGGTGTAGTGAACTAGACCTCCGACATCAATCTGTCTCTGAAGACCTTCAGGGGACAGGAACTGTTATTTCATTGATTTGAATCCAGCAATACAAATTATCTCATCAAGAGACTATTTAATTGTATCCTGAATTAATCAATTGAAAGAACACTCTTCTTTTTTATATTTTCATTACTATTTTACTATATCTTGATAATCAAAAGTATGTTTAGTTCATCCCATTTTTAATGTTGAAGTAAACCACTCATTTAAATTAACTGTGAAACAGTATTAATGATTTTTAAACCTCATTGGACGTAGATCATACAAGTTAAGTGTCTATTTATGAAGTAAGTGTGCATTTTATTCTTCTGTCTGAATGAGGAGTGGATTTAATGTCGGTCAAATGTCAGAGAACAAGTTATGAGAACGAAGTGCCTTGTTTTCAAAACTCTCAGACAGTAAATAAGAAACTGGCACCTGCAAAGTCTGTCACTTCTTCAAAATATTTTCCTGTCTGTACTAACCGTTATTAAAAACATTTCTGCTGTCTGTTGACTTCTAATAACCCTCTGACATCACTAAAACACCACCCCTGCTGGTTGTGTCAACCAATCAGGAAGTACCAAGTGACAGGAAGTGGATACCCTTTAAAAGTCAACACTTCTTGGAACTATTCCGTCTTCCTGGAACTTTCAGTCTAGGATGAGACTCAGTCTTACTGGAAGACTCAGTCTTATGGCGAGTCTTACAGGAACTTTCAGTTCTTACTGAAAGTCTGTTTGGAGTTCTGGTGGTCTCTATGTCTGTTGCAGCCTTCCTGGTCTCTACTCCCACTGCAGTCTCCCTAGTCTCTACCCCAGCTGCAGCCTCCCTAGTCTCTATGCCCACTGCAGTTTCCCTAGTCTCTACCCCAGCTGCAGCCTCCCTAGTCTCTACGCCCACTGCAGTCTCCCTAGTCTCTACACCAGCTGCAGCCTCCCTGGTCTCTATGCCTGCTGCAGCATCCCTGGACTTTATGCCTGCTGCAGCCTCTCTGGTCTCTACACCTACTGCAAATCCCTGGTCTCTTTGCCTGTCACAGACCCCCTGGTCTCTTTGCCTGCTGCAGATCCCCTGGTCTCTTCACTTGCTGCAAATTTGGTTGTTCCTTCACTTGCTCCAGAGCAGCTGGTCCCTTCGCATGCTACAGAGCTGCCGGTCTCTTTACCTGCTGCAGAGCTGCTGGTCCCTTCACCTACAGCAGAACTGCTGGTTCCTTTGCCTGCTGAAAGGCTGCTGGTTCCTTCACCTGCTGCAGAGCTGCTGGTTCCTTCGCCAGCTGCAGAGCTGCTGGTTACACATGCAGGTCTTCTGGTTCCTTCATCAGTGGCAGTTCCCTTGTCCGACTCACCAACTACAGCCTCTTCATCGTACTTATCACCTCCAGTGGTCTTAATCCCTGGTTTGCCATTTGCGGCTCATTTCTCTGGTTCACTGACTGCGGCTCTCGCCACATCTTCCTTGTCTGTGTCAGTCACCTTATCCATCATGACTGATTCCTCGTCTGATTCGCCTGCTGCCACAGTCTCCCTGCTGGTCTCAACACATCTCCTTCCACTGATTCCAAGGAGCTCCAGGTAGACATCTCTGGCCAGTTATGGACAGTCTCCTGGACGCCCACCTGAACTGTTCTGTGCTGGACAGTCTCCTGGCTACCCAACTGAACTTTTGCCTTGATGTTGGATGGTCCCCTGGCCATCTGCCTGAATTTTCTGTGAATTTTGGTCCCAGGTGTCTTGCCCCTTGTGTTCTCCTTTGTGTCCATCTTCTTCCCACCCGAGTTGTGTGATGGTCTTGGGATGTCAAGAACGGTCCTTGATAGTGGTGATGTGTGTGTGTGTGTGTGGGGGCGGGCAGGGGGCGTGGGTGATTTGTGTTCTCTAGTGTGTCTTCCCCATGTGGTCTGTTTCCAACTCCTGCCACTCCCACCTGTTCTTAATTGTATTTTCCCAGATGTCTTTTATTATCTGTTGTTAGTGTTTTGTATTCAAGTCTGTGTCTCTATGTTCCCCGTGTCCACACATTGTCCTGAATAGTATTATTATTTTGTCTTCCTTCGTGTCATCCCAGTGATTGTGCAACTTTGCTGCATGTCAGCTTTTGCTATTTCATTTGTTAAAAATATATTCTTTATTTAATCCTGAGCTCTCTGAGTCCTGCCTGCACATGGGTTCTACCAAACATCAGAATCATAACACAACTAGCTGATGCTAGTACTGTATTTGCACCTGCGAATAACCACAAAATTCTATGTAAACACTTATAATTTAATTTTGTAATACAAAACTGACAGAAGGTCTTTGAAATATATAACATAATTTTAAGTTTATAAAGCAGTGGGTTCATGAATAAAACTTGTTTTATTTTATTTATCAGTTTATCTAAGGCACATTACTATCGTTGGTAAAACTGGATTGATCTATTTCCTCACAAAGTACAAAGCTCAGCCAACAGTTTTTGATGTTTAACAGTCTTGTTTGCTGCTCTCCTGTTGAGCTGCAGGGTGTTAGTCTTACAACCTACATGTTCTTATTGCACTCAGACTGTACAGTATATCAGTATTTCTCAGCATGAGCCCACCATGTACTTAACCATGCACTTTCATTTTATCTGCAGGTTTTATAAATTAGCAAACGAAAAAAGACTGATGTAAATATCTGCAGCCATTTGTGCCCTGGGGGGATCCAGAGGTGTGAACACAGTCCCAAAGTGACTGGTTTTCCATCTGTTATCTTGACATGAATTTGTACATGTATGCATATTAACTCCAGGAAACCAGTTGTTCTCCTACTACATAAAGGTGAGAACATCTGTTTGCACAGATGTGGCTCTGCTTCTCACTAATGATCAGAACTGAAGTGTGTGTAAGAAAAATCACACATTTCCCTTTGGTTAATTAGTAAAGAAGGTGGTTTAATGTATTATGGGTTTTTTTTCCATTAGGAAAATGAATTAAACTAATATCAAGACCTGGTGAAGATCAGTTTATTTTGCAGTGAAAACACCTTTGATCTTGGCCCTTCCATAAAATATGAGCTGTAAATACGAACATAAAACATCAACCAGTATGTGCAATTTTAGATGAATCAGGGGAAATGCCTTTGTGTTTGCGAAGGAAACAGATATTTGTTAATTATTGGATTCGTCTTACAGGTCATCTTTATAGTCATCCAACTAAATCAGTGTTAAAGGAGTCATGGGAAAGGCATAGGAAAACAAACATTAAGCTTTGAGTGACATGAACCGGGCTTTGGATTCAGTAAAGGCACCAGAATGCAGGAATAGTTTAAAATATTTATTAAAGAAGGAACTCTGGTGGAGGTCTGGGTCAGTGGGCCCCTCGGATCTGCAGGGACAGTAAGGTTTCTGAATTGGCTTTGACTGTGAAGGTGAGACGGAAAAGGGTAGAGTGCCCTCTCTGGGTCGGTGAGGAGGTCCTGCCCCAAGTGGAGGAGTTCAAGTATCTTGGGGTCTTGCTCACAAATGAGAGAAAAATAGAATGAGAGATTGATAGGCGGATAGGTGCAGCATCTATAGTGAAGCGGGCGCTGTACAGGTCTGTTGTGGTGAAGAGAGAGCTGAGGCAAAAGACGAAGCCCTCAATTTACCAATCGATCTACGTTCTTACCCTCATCTATGGTCATGAGCTTTGGGTTGTGACCGAAAGAACGAGATCTCAGATACAAGCGGCAGAAATGAGTTTTCTCTGCTGGGTGTCTGGGCTCTCTCTCCCTTAGAGATTGGGTGAGAAGTTCGGTCATCCGAGAGGGACTCAGAGTAGAGCCACTGCTTCTCCACGTTGAGAGGAGCCAGTTGGGGTGGCTCGGGCATCTCATTAGGATGCCTCCTGGATGCTTCACTGGTGAGGTGTTCCGGACACGTCCCACCGGGAGGAAACCCAGAGGAAGACCCAGGACACGCTGGAGGGACCATGTTTCTCAGCTGGCCTGGGAATGCCTTGGGATTCCCCGAAGGAGCTGGCCCAAGTGGCTGGGGAGAGGGAAGTCTGGGCCTCCCTAAGCTGCTACCCCTGCGACCCGACCCCGGATAAGCGGAAGAAAATGGATGGATGGATGGATGGATGGATGGATGGATGGATGGATGGATGGATG